TCTCTGTATTGATGTCTATGTATTTTACCTCTTTTAAGCATACATTAAGCATACCTTAGCTTAGTTTTGCTTCTTTTTCATGTCATTCTTAGTCACTTTGCATCATTTTCTGTCACTTGGAGCATCCTGCATTAGCATAGCATACATTCTTGCATATGGAGTTGATTATAGGTAAAACAAGCGCTTCTGAGCCTTGTTTGGAGCAAAGGAGTGATAGAAGATGGCTAGCTCGATTTGGAATGCAAAGAAAGGCAGAAGGAGCTGTGCTCGACCTATAAGCTCTACATGACGTAGAGCAGGGAAGGAAGAAGACCAGAGCTCGAGCAGGGCATCACGAAGTCACCAAGGAGTGTGCTCGACGTGGGAGCTCGACTTGAGGTCGAGTTAGAAGGAAGGAGGTCATTCAACAAGATTCAGAGCCAAGCTCGACATGCTGGGCTCGACTGGAGGTCGAGCAAGGAGGAAAATAATGAAGCCAGGAGTCAAGCTCGACTTGTGGTCGAGTAAACAAGGAAAAAAAAGAACCGACTTTGAAGAACACACCCACTCGACGTATATGCTCGACCTGACGTCGAGCTGGACTCTAGCCGACTTTCTATTTTAACGTTTTGCCAATTAGGGCAATCTAGTATTTTCTATAAATAGGGGTTCACGCTTTTACCCAGCGGATATTCTTTTTGTCCAGTAGATATTCCGCTGTTCTCTCTAAAATCCTAGATTTTGTAATCGTTTTTCCTGCTGAATCTTTGAATTTTTGCATTTCTTTTCTTCATCAAAGTTGTAGATATGCTTCTAACCTATAACATACTTGTTTTTTAATGATTTCTGGGTTTGAAGTATTTTCTGGGTTTATAGCTATGATGTTCTTGAGTGTTCTTGAGTAGTTCTGCAAAGTTCTTAAGGATGACAAAGGTTTTTAGTGGATTCCTCTGTTTCTTTAGCTAGATAAGTATAGTATTTCATGATTCCCTTCTGGTTTAGTAGTTCTTATTGCTTTTTCTTCTCTGATCAATTGGAAGTTGATCTCAAACATTTCCATGCCCACAAGGTGTTTGATAAAATGTCTGAACCAACTATTCTAGAGATTTACATACTTTAGCCCAAGAGATTGGATGTTTAGAAAGTTTATGACTATATTAGACTGAATCTTAATGCCTGCTTTGTTATATTTCATCTATGAAAATTGAGTTTGAAAGTGATTTTGCTTGAGAATCTCTGTCATGAGAGTGGATTGATCTGCCTTTGAATCTATTGTCTAGGGATAGCTTGATTGAGTCTGTTAGCTAGGTAAAGGGATTGAGGAGTCCATTATAACCAATAACCCCATTCTTAAGAGCTTGCCTTGTTAAATTGCTTAAATCTCGTTTTTGTTAGTCTCTGTTGCTTAGCTCGACATATTTGCTTGATGTGTTTGGTCTAGCATAGTTCAATGCATTGATAGGTTATTAGTTTTCTTTTTAAAGCTTATGCATGATAGTTCCTGGTATGTAGTTCATTTCTTGTTGTTTAGTTTTCTTTCTCATGCTTTTGAATTTGGTACTTGCATGTTAATTGGTTTCTTACACTACAAGAAATATCTACATTATTAGCTAGAGAAAAGAGCTATTATATGTCATTAATAGCGTTTTCATAAACGCTGTCTTATGCCCCTGTTATGGTAGACCCCCACATACGATAGCGTTTTTTCCGTATGTTATGGTAGAGTATTCTACCATAGCATTAGTTAAACGCTTTGGTATAACGACTTTATATTTTTTTTTAATTATGTAATAACTCATTTTTCGTGCTATTATAGGTGCTTTCTACCATAACTTTATTAAAATGCTTTGATTTTTTATAGCGCATTTTTATGCTAGAATACATTATATGCAATTAAAATATATAGATTTGAAATCCAATTAATAATATGCTACAGAACCAATTTATTAAAAACATGTTTCTTTCCATAGATCATCAAAAGTTACATAGTGTAGCATTGAACACCATTTGTTAAAAAAAGGTCTTAAACAACATCATAAGTACTGCAATTATGGACTAAACGAAGAATTACATTGGTTTGCTCTTTCTCTCCCTCCAAGAACTTAGGTTGATGTCCACACTTCACTGCCTTCTCCATATTCTCTGCAGTTTGGTTCTTTTCTTTGTCGTTGGCTGTCTTTGTATAAGTAAAGCAAGTGAGTTTTTCAAATGCTTCTACTAGATAATGACTACATATAAAAGCGTGAGGAAAGAAGGAAAGATAAGCTAGAAAAGGTATTTGGAGCAGCAAAGTGTCTTACCAATACCTACCACAGCTGAATCTGAGAAAAACAAGAATACAACTTAACTAGAGACCATTAATTTGAATTATAGCTTATGAAGAACATACTTCACAGAGAACACAAGAATTTTTAGAATCAGAAATTTCTTAAGAATATCTAAGATCCACCGAAAGCTTTTCTTAAGAATATCTGAGATCCAGTGAAAGCTTACCTCACCAAAAGATGAATCGAAGCTTTCTATCCAATACCCTCACTAAAGACAAAACATATATTGAACCATAAAATAATTTATAGATTCATACGAAAAAAAAAAACAGAAACTCATACATGAGATCACTTGTTACTTGGTTATTCATGACGTTGTTTCCACAAACTCCAACCTGCAATCAAACAAAAACACCATCAATATTTTCATAAAACTAATCGTGCCAAGATATAACCGAAGCAATACAAACAAAACCCATATTATCAAACTTACCATTAGGAAACAATTTCAAAACAAATGTGATCTCACCATGTATCAAACAAACAGAAGATACTAACCACACATACTCCATTTCTCTAGCGTCAAAAGATTAATTCACCTATAAGAAAGGCAAAACAACAACAATTACAAACTGCACAACTGATTATTGTACCTAGTCCCGAGTTTATCAAAAGAAAGCTTCTATGTGTTTTACCATCTTTTACAGCAAGATTGATGACTCTCACTCTTTTTTAATCTTTTGTTCACACTAGAAGGATGTAATAAAACAGTAGCGTCAACAAGCTTCTGTTTTGCCATTTCCACCGCAACTTTTGCTGAGATTAAACACAAAACAGGAAAGATAAAGCCATGTGTAAGCTCATGTCAGTGGACCATGGTTTATTTATTATCCAACAAAGAGATAAGTCATTGTCTTGTTCTTAGCTTTGCAATCAACAACTAACAATGGATCTCCATGGAAGACATCAGGAACCACGACATAGAATCCAACTTCTGCAACCTTGTCAACAAGCTTCCTATCACAGTAAGAACATAAAACGAAGACAAGTTACAGCAACAATTAACCTAAGCATCGAGCTAGAGAAACTAACACAAATCTGGCAAAAAAAAACAAATAAATCTTCTCATAAACCTTCATATCAAATGAGTTCTTTCTCCCTCTCTCTCTCAACCAATTTCTCAACCCTTACCTTCTTCCTAGCCTTAGCCTCCTCCTCTTGAACCATATCTCTATTTATTTGATCCTGTTCACGATAACGTTCACGACGACCACGCTCACGGTCTCTCTCTCGCTCTTGCTCTCTGTCTCTATCCCTATTGCAGTATCGATCTGGCCCTCTATCTCTCTCCCAGTCGCAGTCACGTTCTCGTTCCTGATCTCGGTCTCGATCCTTGTCCAGATTGGTGTTGTCTCCATTAGAGGAATCGACCGAGTTTGTGAACCAAGCTGTAGACTGAAGGATAATGAAGGGACGCGAAATGACGCCGGCGACGAGCTCACAGTGGAGCCGAAGTCGATGAGACCTAGGTTTCGATTTGGGGGATTTTTTTTTTTTTTGTGTATTGTCGTAAAAAGATAGTAAATTTTTTTTGGCTTTGGGCTAAACACTATAATACTTAAAAAAAAATTCTACCAAACAAAAAAATAACACTTCAAATTTTTGGATCTGAAGTTTCTAGCGCTTAGGTGAATTTTTCATCTAAGTATTGGCGGAATAAGTGATTTTCGCTTCTGATTTGGTGATTTTTTTTCTTAGCATTGTTTCAGTACTATTATATAGTAATCAAAAATAAAATTCATCTATCATAACAGTTACGAAAAATGAGCTATCGTCATATGCTATCAATGTAGATATTTCTTGTAGTGTTAGGTTCAATAGAAACACACAAAACCCTTTTACAATTGGCTTGACTTACTTGCTTTCTGTTTCATATCTTGAATACTTGCAATCACACTGAGATTGGATTGATAACCTAATATATTACAATGGCATGTGTATTAGGAATTGATACTTCCTGAGTAAAAAATCATACTATCATGTATCGTGTTCCGTTCAGTTTAAGTGAGTCATAAAGCTTTTTCACAACTTGTTCCTCACGCCAACTTTATTTGAAGACTTGAGTTTGCGGATATGAAGGGGCACCTATCTTCCTTTACCGAGCAGGTCACCAGCCTCCATGAACATCTTTGTTAGGAACACTGGTGACCACCTAGATACATTAGCAAAAGAGCATGGTTCACGATTCCTAACCGGAAGTGAGGTGTGTACAATCCTTTTCAGTAACATCTTTAGTCACCAATCAAAGCATCGACATTTGAGTAACATCAAAAAAGTAAAGACAAACGTATGAATTATAACCAAAAACTTTATTTTTCCTAAAGTGGTTCACTTTCTATGTCATTCATCAATTTGTAAATGCTTTGGTTGACATAAGTACTCTTTATTAACCATGTCATCAAAAATATCATATTATTTGAAAATATCGACGTGGCTCATGGCAAGTATGGACATGTGACGTAGATTTGTCAACAACCACAACGTGCAAGAAACAAAACAAACATTTGTTCCTATAAATTTGCGTATGTCAAAGCTTAGGCCAATGCAAAATCACATTTCTTCTTTACAGAAAAACACACACGCACACACAATTGTCTTGACGAATAGAGAAAGAAATGGAATCTCATGTCGTTTATAACGAACAGAAACCCCACGTAGTTTGCGTGCCTTATCCGGCTCAAGGCCACATCAACCCTATGCTGAAACTGGCTAAAATCCTTTACGTCAGAGGCTTTCACGTCACCTTCGTCAACACCATCTACAACCACAACCGTCTTCTTAGATCCCGTGGCCCAAACGCCCTCGATGGGCTTCCTTCGTTCCGTTTCGAGTCCATCCCTGACGGTTTACCAGAGACGAACGTGGACGCCACGCAAGACATCAGTGCCTTGTGCGACGCTGTCAAGAAGAACTGTCTCACTCCATTTAAGGAGCTTCTCCGGCGGATTAACTCCCAACAGAACGTTCCTCCGGTGAGCTGCATTGTGTCAGATGGTACAATGAGCTTTACCCTTGACGCTGCGGAGGAGCTTGGTGTACCGGAGGTTCTTTTCTGGACCACAAGTGCTTGTGGCTTCATGGCTTATCTACACTTTCATCTCTTCATCGAGAAGGGTCTGTGTCCATTAAAAGGTACATGTTAGTGATATAATTGACGTTATAATACTAAGTTTAACCTAAAAAAGCTTTAGGTACGTACCACGACTAGGGTAAGAGCATGTGCAATGGTAAGAGACCCATTGAGTCTCTCACTAATTTAATTTGTGTAAAGGTTTATTTTTGTGTGGGTTCCAATTTTTGTTCATGATCTTTGAAACCTAAAATGCATAAACATGGAAACTTGATCTTTTAACAACAAAAAAAAAAACATGGAAACTTGATGACGACCAAGAAAAAAGAGAAAAAGATAACGAAATTTTCAAAACGAAATGCGAAAAAATCCTTGGAGATGATTTAAAAAAATAAAAATAAATCACGCTTAAACATTAATATAATTAGGCCAATATCATTCCTACCAAAAAGCAATTAGGCCAATATCATTATCGAGGCCACTGTCTTTCGGTCATATGAATGCAATTAGGCCACTATCATTATCGAGGCAACAACTGTCTTTAGGCCAATCCCTTCGGACTTTGAAGTTATTCTATTGATGTCGTGTCCAATATTGAATCATATAGACATATATATATGTATATATATATATATGCTTATGTAAATGTCAAATTTTGTGTCATGCGTTTTTTACTAGAGACTGAACAAATAAATAATGGTGATGGATTTGGCAGATGAAAGTTACTTGACGAAGGAGTACTTAGATACAGTTATAGATTGGATACCGTCTATGAAGAATCTAACACTAAAGGATATTCCTAGCTTCATTCGCACCACTAATCCTGATGACATTATGGTTAACTACGCCCTCCGTGAGACCGAGCGAGCCATGGAGTTAACTTCATTTGTAAAACTGATGTTAACTTTAACGTCAAAAGTCTAACGATAGTTTTGTTGATTTTTAGTGTCAGTTATACAATGATTTAAAACCGACGTAATGTGCATTTACCAATTACAGTTTTTTTTTTTTTTGGACAAACAATTATTACAGTTTTCTTTATTACAGTTTTCTTTATTATGATTTTTTGTCCACAATACAGTTTTTTTTTTTTTTATTGAATAAAACAAATTTTAGTTAAAAATTTTAAACGACAATAGACTCAATAGTAAAAAATCATATATTATATATTAAGGACAAGACATAATTGTCACAAAATAATAAAAGAACACATTATCTTTTGGGATTTTTGCCAAATGTACCACTTTTTTCCAATTTCTTTCAAAATCTACCACATTCCTATCCTTCTTTCAAATCATACCACATTTACATGCAAAGTTACCATTTTGCCCTTACTACTTCACAATATCCACTTTTTCTATTCCCTATTAATCTCTCATCCCTCGAGATCTGTGCACTTTAACCCCACATCATTATCCCCCTCAGAGAAACACAAAACACTTTCGTCTCTCTCTCACTTTCCCTTTCTCTTTCTTCTTCAGATCTTGTCTCATAATAAACGCTTTCGTTTTGTCTCTAGCTCTTGTCCCCGATTGAAAATTCTCTGTTGCGTCTAGATCTTGTCCCCGATTTCATCAGCTTGCTCTATTATCATGAATCCCAGATGATATGGTTTTACCAGCCTGCAGAGATCTGGATTTACTCGGGGACAACATCTCTTAATTATCCATCGCCAGATGGTGTGGTTTTACCAGCCAGATATCTGGATTAACTCGGGGACAACTTGATCTTTATTTTATTCTGCCAGAGAGCCGAAGACGAAGATCTGGATTTACTCGGGGACAACTTCGTTTTACCAGACAGGGACGAAAACGGTTACCAATGTGCCAGGAGAGAGACAAAAAGGACGACATAAATTTTGTAAACGTGCAGCATTAAATGCAGACTGCTCCCTCCTGTCCCAAGTTGTCCCTTTCTCTGACACACTTCTCTCTCCATCAAGGGCAATTTCGTCCGGCTTTAAGCATGTGGCATTGAAATGTGGTACATTTCAAAAGATTTTTCCAAATGTGGTACTAAGCCTAAACTTTCTCTGAAAAGTGGTACCCAATCTAATTTTCCCTTATCTTTTTAATGTTTAGAAAATAAATGAAAATTACAAGAAATTTGTTTGATGTATAAAAATAAGAAATTGTCTTCTTCTCACCCAACGGCTCCAGAGAATGAGAAGCACATCTGACCTGAAACTTTTGGAAGAAACTACTAGCCAAGAGATCAACTAATATAACACCAACGTTGGTTTCATTCTTTCTTGAATCCTAGGCAATAAAATTGCAGGGGAGATAGGAGAAGAAACTTACTTTACTCCGGAGGGCAAAGTAGAATCCTGAGTTGGTGCGTTGATGGAAAGAGCCTCCATCTCTGACAATGGATCAGTTTCCAAAAATCAAAACACAAAAACAAAAAATGACTCAAATTTTGAAACTTTTTGCAGAAAGAAGTCAAAGATAAGTAACACCTTATCCTATCCTCTCTATGTATCTCTCTATGTATATTGTTTCGTTTCCAAGCTCTTTTTTTTTCTTTGACTTACTTACACACACTTATTTTCATTGTCCCCGGATTAAACTCATATCTCAGTATCAGACTTATCAGACTTAAAAACAGTCTTAAACTCATATCTCAGTATCATTATCAAACATTATGCAATTTGTTGTTATTCATACCTATTGTAGTTTGTCCCAAGTACTGCCAATTCATCTACCTCTGTGAAGTGTAAAATGTGTCGTTGCTTTTCTTAATGATCAAACAAAACATATCACTGCCAAAACCAGATGATAAATCAATCAAAACAAGACCAGATTGTGATTGTAATCGATTCAATGATTCATTGGAACAAGTCCATATGCTTCTTCAAGATCCTCAAAGATTATACTCTCAACTTATTGAGGTAGTAGAACACAAAGACTCGAATCAGTCTTGGCTAGAATCAACTCCTTACTCTAGATCCACATTGTCTGTGCAGATCGAACAAATCATCTCTTAAACTCAGGTCCGTGAATTCATCTATGGGAAGTTCCTCTATACAAATTGAGAGCATCTACTTCGAAACTCAATCACTGACATTGGAATCGAGCAACCAATTTTCTCTTAAAAGGACCGATGATTTCAAGCACTGACATTTCAATTTTCCGCAGCAAACTATCATGATTCTCCATTATCATAAGTCAATGTCCGATAACCTAACGGCGAATATCTCCGATCATGTTTCCAAGTTAGAATCAATACCTGATTTGGTGGTTTCGACGAGCTTCGATGCTCTTGTTTCGTCTAAATCTGGTTACAGAGATCATCGATTTTGGATCTGCTTCTCCGCCTCTGAGCTTGAATCCAAATGGATATTGAAATCAAAGAATCAGAACTCCACCACAACGACGATAGGCTTAGATAGAGAACCTCGTAAATGGAAGAGATCATAAGCGATCGGAAAGTTTTGTTACTAGAAACAATTAGTTTCTAGATAAATGAAAAAAAATCGAAGTATTAATAAGTGACGCAAATGATTAAGTCGGTTTCTTAAGTCACGCAAAATACTTCTCTAATTGAAAGTTTAACGTCGGATTACTAATTGACTTCAATATACCGACGTTAACCGGCGTCTTTCTTGTAGTGCCAAGCACGCTTCTGCTATCATTCTAAACACATTTGATGATCTTGAACATGATGTCATCCAGTCTATGCAATCCATTTTACCTCCCGTTTATTCAATTGGACCACTTCATCTGATAATGAACCAGGAGATTGATGAAAATAGTGATGTAGGAAAGATAGGATCAAATCTATGGAAAGAGGAGATGGATTGTTTAGATTGGCTTGATACTAAAACTCGAAACAGCGTTGTTTATGTCAACTTTGGGAGCATAACGGTAATGAGCGCAAAGCATCTTGTAGAGTTTGCTTGGGGATTGGCGGGATGTGGGAAAGAATTTTTATGGGTGATTAGGCCAGATTTAGTAGTGGGAGAGGAGGCGGTAGTTCCCCCGGATTTTTTAACTGAGAAAGTAGACCGGAGAATGCTAGCAAATTGGTGTCCTCAAGAGAAAGTTCTTTCTCATCCCTCGATCGGAGTGTTCTTAACACATAGTGGATGGAACTCGACGTTGGAAAGTCTTTCATGCGGAGTTCCAATGGTTTGTTTGCCGTTTTTCGCAGAGCAACAAACGAATTGTAAATTCTGTTGTGACGAATGGGAGGTGGGTATGGAGATTGGTGAAGATGTGAGGAGGGAAGAGATTGAGACAGTGGTTAAAGAGTTGATAGATGGAGAGAAGGGAAAGAAAATGAGAGAGAAGGCAGAAGAGTGGCGACGCTTGGCGAAGGAAGCAACGGATCATAAGCATGGTTCCTCGATTGTGAATTTGGACAGAGATCTGAGTAATCTAAATAATAATAATAATCCGAATAAATGTCTTCTACCGTTGTGTTTTTTTATTGTAATTCTTCGTAAGATATATATATATTTTGATATTTAATAATTTAAAATTTACCTTTAACGGTTATGTCTTTTCAAAAGGTTACATATATTCATTTAGAGTTGTGTCTTGTCATTATGCTTTATTCGTGTTTTTCACCACAACTCTTCTTTCCAATAGTTGTATCTTTTACAAACAATTATGTCTATTTAAAGTTTAAACGTTCATGCCTTTTAACTCTATATATATTTTTATTATATAATAATAATAACAATCTGTATTAATTTCTTCTACGATTGCATTTTTTTATCGTAACTCTTCGTAAAATATATATTTTAATTTTTGATAATTTGAAATATATTTTTGACGGTTGTGTCTTTTCCGAAAGTTGTATCTGTTCATTTAGAGTTGTGTCTTTCGCTATGCTTTATTCGTGTTTTTCATCACAACTCTCTGTTCCAATAGTTTTCTTTAACAAACAGTTCAAATCTATTTAAACGTTCTTCTTAGATAATTACCAACATTTTATTATTTTTGACACTGATTTTTCCGGTTTAAGATTAATCCAAAAAAATTGAATTTCGTAACCAACATTATTAATTATATATTCTCTAAACTATTTTTAACATACATTATTTAAAGTTTAAAGAATTCCTATAATTCTTGATATGACTAAATATTTTTGAAATGATCAATGATGTAGAAATTTTAGTCAGTTGTAGATATATCTTCTATGGTAGCATATATTTTTATACGGTTGCGTCTTTTTATCATATCTATTAATTTTCATGTAAATTAATCGTAATATCAATGGAATATTACGTTGTACATGCATGAAAATGAATCATAATTTTACATGGTAAGTCAAACCCTAAGATTTTGAAAACCTATCATTGTTTAATTTTTATGTCTTTAGTCATACGGGACATTAAGCAACTGATCCAGCACTTTGTGGAGGTGATGTTCACATTCACTTATCGAGAAGGAAACGGAGTGGCCGATAGAGTAGCGAGGTAATATCTTTCTTTTATGAAATATGATCCTAAGTTGTATTCTATAGTGTTAATGTGGATTAAAAATCTCGTGGAGCTAGAAAAGCGTAGGTACTCTAGTTCTAAGGTTTGATTCTCAAAGAATGCAATTCTTATAGATTATTAATGCAAATTTTATCGAAGTTCCAAACTAGTATATATAGTACTTTTTTGTATGATGAGTATCACTTACCAGCTTACATTAGCATACTTAGCTTATGTTAATAGTTAGATAAGCTTATGTTAATAGTTAGATAAGCTTATGTTAGCATATGATTAGATATGTATATAAAGAAACTATACTCTACATTGTTATTAGTTTATTGATTTGTAAATTCATATAGGATTTGAAAATCTTTATTAATTATGAAATTAAGACATATGAATTTTGAAATAATATGTGTTTACTCATGAATTTGAATATTTCTATTTTACTATTTAAAATCCATTCAAATCTATTTTAAACATAATTTATATTTTGAAATCCAATAACAAATGACTAAACGAATAACATAGGATTTTAATGAGTATTTATAAATCATAAAACCAATAACACATAATTTTAGTTAAGATTTTAAAATCAATAATTGAATAAAAAATGATTTTTGTTTAAATTTATAAATTCTTATAAATGCATGAACCAATAACCCCTCGTTACTAATTAATGAGAAAATCTGATTATATCTTAACACTTCTTTCTCTCTAAACTTCGAGTTTGTTACTAACTAGTGTTAAGACCCGTGCCTTGCACGGGTTTTATTTATTTTGTTTGTTAATTAGCAATTAGTTGATATTATAAATATAATTTATGTATAAATAAAAAGAAAATTAAAATATTAACATATAATATTAGTATATCTATATATACAAAGATTGATTAAAATAATGTAAGATGAAATAAATATGAGAAATTTCAATTTATAGTGGAAGATCTTTTCCATACATAAATTGATCGATTGGTAAAATAAAGGACGGACAAAAATTAAAAGAAATAAACGTATATGAATACTTTATTGTTAGATAGATAATTTTAAAAGTAATATTGAATAGTCTGGTAAATTAAATGTTTCTTACAAAAACACAAGTTTTTAAGCCTTCTTACAAAACGCAAGTTGAGTACTTACATAGTTAGATTACACCCAAAAAAAAACAAATAGAGAGATCAATCAAATGCTCATAAGATCGATGATCAAATGGAATTGGCCATGATCTAGTTCTTGACCATGCAAGGCTCCTGAGTAGAAATAGTTTCCATATTATAAAAGTGGACATGAAATCAAGAAAGAATGTTAAGGATATATGGAGAATTATACAGTTCGTGTTTATTAGTGAAACTAACCTCAGCTAGAATCCAACTCAGGCTCTTCATGACCCGATGCATTGCACATGATAATAGACTGATGCAATAGATATGAAGATGTTTAAGTTAGCCATAGTTAAGCAGATTAGCCATAGCTTCGTTCCTGACACAAGACAACATTAAAATATAATAAGGAATTGGAATTACAATTGCAAGTAGTTGGGGACGAAAATTAAAAAGGAAAAAAGAGAGATTGGAAAATTTGTTAGTCAAGTCATTGAAAAAAGAAAATCCAAAGATTTGAAGACGATGGAAGAAACCTAGAATTGGTAGCAAAAAATTGATTATAAGCTAAATTGTATATTCGCAGATGTTCAAACTCCATTGAATTTTGAAAAGACGATTGACGGTTACTCTTGTGTTCGATAAAGTCCTTTAATGGTGATCCTTGACTAATTTCGTTATAAATCTGTTTTGTAGAACCTACAAAAAAAAAGATACAGTAAAAAAAACTTGGTAATTAAAAATCAAAATTCAAGAAGAAAATAAAAGATCAATCCGTTTGAAATTGCAACCATTGAATCAAAAGTAAAACTTGTTTCTGTAAAGGCGCATTGGATGACAATATGGATTTACATGAACTTTTATCTGCATCAATCTAGTGGTAGGTGGAGGAACGGTTGCATTGAAAAGGATCGTGGGAAATGTCGGCTTGAGTAACGCAAACATTGGTGAGAATCCAATGCCCCGAAAACCCAAGGGTAGATTTTTGCTTTAATAATTGTTTTTATAATATTTGAATAGAAGTAAATATCCTGAAGCAGTTTCCGTGATCAAGTGAAAATTTTATAAGTCACTCTTTGTCAAATCCCATAAATCGTGGAATAAGGGATTGAGGAAACTTTCTTTTAAGTTTTAATTGATATAAAAATTAATTAAGAAGAAAAGAACCGAGAGAAAAAATAGAAAAGTAAAAGTAAAGAATTTAAGATTTATGACACGTGGCAGATGGAGAATGCTGCAGTTTTTGTTAAATTGACCGTTGGTTTAGTAGAAGTAGATGTAGAAGACTTTGTTACTTTGGTTAATGAAAAGTACTTGTTAAGCAAAAAATAATATTACAGAATCGAGCAATAGATACACATGACAAACAACATCCTAGTATGACAAAAAGAAAGGCGTATTTAGTATTTACTATTTAGGGGTTCAAAATAATAATAAAATGGAACAATTCTTGGGTTCACCGTAGTGGTGAATCCAAGTATTCACCCCTTTTAATTTTAACCAATCATTATGCCATATCATATAACATTAAATAGAGATTAAAAATTAAACAAACAAATAAAATAAAATTATTAATAAAAAAAAAAATTAGTTACATGCTCGCCGTCTTCCTTTTAGTTTTTTTGACATCATACGGTGGCCATTTTTTCCTTCCATCTATCATTCGTAACATCAAGTATTATGGTGTCTTGGATTTATTCTTGACAATGATGCATGCTTCATTTGACTTGAAGAAAAAATTGTCTTCTCAGGCTCCATCATATCCTGTTTTTCAAAAAGGAACATGTACGAAAAAAAATGAACAAATCAGAAAGAGAAACACAAGCAATAATAATGTTTTTTGAAACACAAGCAAAAAATTGAACAGGTCAGATTAGCGAGAAAGATGGAAGGAAAAGATGGCGACGACCGTATGATGTCAAAAACCTAAAAAAAAGACGGGGAGGCTGCAACTAAATAATATGTTCGTTAATAATTTTATTTTTTAATTTATTTTATTTGTTTGTTTAATTTAATCTCTATTTAATATTATATGACATGACATAATAATTGGCTAAAACTAAAGATGGTGAATACTAGGGGTGAACCCAAGAATTGTTCGTAAAAGTGGTCTTGGATGTTAATTATGAGAAAGATTGGTGCTATACTTGATATTAAATAAACTTCTCAAGAAAAGCAAGAAAAGAAAAATCATTCCTTTACGCGTTTCGCATCGAAAGGAAGCTTCGTCTCTTGTATATTTTTTCCAGTCCGATCAAAGGTTTTGCTAATTCGTCGGCTTAATTTCGTTCAAGCTTCTGCAAATTCCCAGATTTGGTATTGAAGAATCATGATGAATTCAATCTTCGGAAAGCGAAAAACTCCCGCAGGTTCTTCTTCTCTTTTGTATCTCTCGATTTCGTCTCTTGTTGGATCTCGATTTCTTTGTGAAATATTCCTGGCCAGTGATTGCATCAACAACTACCGTCAATTCGATGATCGCATCTTTTGATCTTGTAGTTTTTGGAATTGAAATTGGGTCCAATTAGGTTTAATGTGCTGATTCTGAGGATAATTGGATGATGTTGTTGAATTTATATAGCATTCGATTGGTTTGAAGATTATGAGATGAATTGTGTCCATGTCGATTAGTGTGCATTGTTTTGTTAGCTTAAGAGTGATTTTAGATCATGTATAGCTCGTGTAAAATGATTTGTTGGTTGCAGAACTTCTGCGGGAAAACAAGCGGATGCTCGATAAGTCTATCAGGGAGATAGAGAGGGAGAGACAAGGCCTTCAAACACAAGAAAAGAAACTCATTAACGAGATTAAAAAGACCGCAAAGCAGGGCCAGATGGTTTGTTTCTCTTTCGTATTGATTGCCTACTTTCTTCATTACCATTGTGTAGGCAGTTAAAACGATATGTCGAGGTTGAATGACTAGCTGAATTATATACTGCTCCTTGTCTGTTTATAGGTATCAGATTTGTTTATGCCGTATCCCTCTGTAATTCCTGTATCACTAAATGATTACAGTGATCTTAAAAGTAGGATTCTGACTAGTTTGGAAAATTCTTTGCAAGGGGTTGGTACAAACTAATAGATTATATAACGGTGGATGCTTTAGAAAAACTACAACGTAATTAGTCCTCACCAACAGATTATTAATACTGAATAGATTGTGTTCTTTTGCAGTTGGACATTTTCTGTAAATTGACTATCATTTGTTGGTTACTTTCTCACAGGGAGCCGTTAAAGTGATGGCAAAGGATCTTATCAGAACGCGGCACCAGATTGAGAAATTTTACAAGCTTAAATCCCAACTTCAAGGTGTATCTCTCAGGATCCAGGTATGCTTTATTTTACCGAAAGTCGAATGAAATAGTATTAGACGCTATACTTGTTTCCTGCAAGGCAATAAACTTGCACTTTGTTATTTCAGACTCTGAAATCTACACAAGCGATGGGTGAGGCGATGAAAGGTGTGACTAAAGCAATGGGGCAAATGAACAGGCAGATGAACCTGCCATCTCTGCAGAAAATCATGCAAGAATTTGAGAGGCAGAACGAGAAAATGGAGATGGTGTCTGAGGTGATGGGAGATGCTATTGATGATGCTTTGGAAGGAGATGAGGAAGAAGAAGAGACTGAAGATCTTGTTAGCCAAGTCCTTGACGAGATCGGTATCGACATCAACCAGGAGGTAAAACATCAAAATCTTATCTACCATTCACTTGTAAATCTGGATAACTGAAACAATCTAACCCGAATCCAAAAAAACCCTATCTGAAAACTGTATACTTGTCAGATATCCAATAAACTGAAACCAATCCGAACCGAAATGGAAAAAAAACTTACCATAGCTTAAAGTCCCTTAAAATATCTGGCTAAGAACTGAAACCAATACTGCTTCCACATCAGATTCGGTTTTACATCGGTTACCATACTTTCCAAAACCGAAAACCATATTTAACATTCCTAGTTCTATTTTTTCAACTATGAGGTACGTAACTTGATTTGACCGGTTTATCTATGTTTCAGCTGGTGAATGCTCCATCTGGTGCGGTAGCTGTACCAGCCGCAAAGAACAAGGTGGTGCAAGCTGAAGCGACCGGAGCTGAGGACAGCGGAGGTATAGATAGTGACCTTCAAGCAAGGTTGGACAACCTTCGAAAAATGTGAAGCCTTCCCGGTTTCTGTATCATATTATTACTGAGGCTGATCACTTTTCAACTTCAAAGGCAAATGTTGCAAACGATATGTTAACGTTTTGGGGGTGCGTTTGTAATAATTTCATAATTTGAGCCCTAAATTATAAACCGATTATTGTTCAAACACTTTGTATATAACCAACTTAAGGGTGTGAGAATTGAGAACCAAAATTGTTAGATGATCTTAAATCTTAAAATTTTCCAAATCAAATCGAACCGAAACTATACACCTCTCAACTCGGTTTTGTCAATTATCGAACCGGACTTGATGTGCGATATTTTGATCACGCCCAATAGCAACCACAGTAATCTCAAACGAAGATAACGTTATCTATCCAATAAGCCATTAGGAAGCTCAGAAGCTGCCACGTAAGACTCATATCTCACATCTCCAATCTCCGAACCTCACTTACCTCAAACCTTCCTTCTCAAATACCATTCTCACCAGAAACTTCACACATTTCGAAAGAGAATCCCACAAGATCAATCTAGAGAGACCAAAAGAGATCGGAAGAGATGGCTTCTACCTCCGCGATGTCATTGGTCACACCACTTTGCCAGACCCGTTCGTCGCCTTTCCTCAAGCCATTACCTCTGAAACCATCCAAGGCTTTGGTTGCAACAGGAGGCAGAGCACAGAGGCTTCAAGTTAAGGCGCTCAAGATGGACAAGGCATTAACCGGAATCTCCGCAGCTGCTCTTACCGCTTCGATGGTGATCCCGGAGATAGCTGAAGCTGCTGGTTCTGGAATCTCTCCTTCCCTCAAGAATTTCTTGCTTAGCATTGCTTCTGGTGGCCTTGTCCTCACCGTCATCATTGGTGTCGTCGTTGGCGTCTCCAACTTTGACCCTGTCAAGAGAACCTAAGAACTACATATCTTTCTTACATCATTATTGTAATCTGTTCTCCTTCTGTGTATTCGTTTAATGTTGCAGCAATGAACTTTTGGATAAAAGTAAAACTTGTTGTTTCCTGAATTCGAAAAACGAATGAGATTTGACATCATAACGCTAAGCTTCATTGAATCAAGATTCAATAGAATTCATCAATTCATAATATAGTCGTGTACTAAACTGGGCTTGATATTCTGAGTTAATTGAAATCTCTCCCTGTTTTACCTTACGAGCAAATCAAGCATGTATTTACTCTCTGATGTATAATTCATCTTATCCACCTTCACAACAGTCATCTTCACTCTTTGTTCATCCCCATACGATTCCTCTTTGATCTTTAGCTTCAACATGTACTGATGAAACAGTCTGTCTCTAACAATCTCTGCGAACTCTTCCTCCTTCTCCAATTCGTATTTCAATGCGTAAAGCTTCTTAGCCGGACATCCCATGATTTCTTCTCCCGTTTCTTGAAACGCGGTTATCCAAGTCAACCCAGTGTGGTCTTGTATCTGCACCTGAAGAAGGTATCTGTAGTCGCATTCATCAGACTCTTGGTTGCACCGGTCACAAAGCCACCTGTTTGTTCCAGACCGTGTTACCTTCTTGTTGCATTGTTTATCTCCGATCATCAAAGGACAAGCTGTGTAACAGAAGCTATCTGTTTTGATGAATGATATGGTTGCTTTCACAGTGATCCAGTCAGGCTTATCTGATCTTCCAAGACCTTCCTCTTTGATCTGAGAAACACTTTTTCTTATCTCGTTCCTGGAAACACCTCCAGGCATAGTGTCCCTGGAGATGGAGAAGGAAGCAGTGTCTTTTCCCCCGTGATCGAACCAGGTTCGTAGTTTATGAGCTTCAGGGAAATCTGGATTTATGAAGAGCTGTGTTGAAGATATTGTCCCCACTGATTTCCCGCTGAAGTCGCTTACTTTTCCAGCTTTTATTGCTAAAACCGGGTGAAAAGCTGAATCAACCATCTCTTCCAGTTGCCGACCATCTCGATTACAGAATTCTCCCCATAGCGTTACCTCTACAGCTTTTCCCGATTCATCCTTCAGATTCAGGATTCGCCTATGGGTTTCCATCCCGTTCTTTCTCAAGATTGGCACTGAGGGGTTCACAGAAGTCACAACTCCAATGACATCGAGTATGGTATTGTTCTCGGCGTTCTCAATGTCACTTATAGGACGGAAGGAGAACTGCTGCCTTGGTATGGAGCCATCTTCATCAGGGCAAAGCTCCACAGTCGATGTTGACTCCAAGAAAATTTCCCATTCATTCTTTAAGTGGTTGTAATTTTTCTGTGCAGGCTTCAAACTTCCCTTTGAAATCAAATATACCTTACCAACCTCAGTAACGTCATAGAATCGGTCAGCAACAGCATTAAAGCAGGTAACCCGAATTTCCCCTCCATCAGAGTCAAGCAGATCAAACGAGTAAACCTTTCCGTCTCCTTTTGCATTGTTATATCGTCTGATATCTCCTTTCGCAGTTACTCTAGCCTTAATAGCCCACCGACCTTGGTATGGATTGAGAGCAGCAATAGGGATGACTCGAGCTGGAGCCTCGTTCTTCATTATGGGTCCATGATTTCTGTAGCTTGCAGGCGGTTGATATGAAGGTTGAACAGATGGCCTGAAACTTGGAGTACTGTTGGCTGGATTTTGAATGTTTACGCCCCTGGGAGGTGCTCTATTAACAGAATGCTGAGCCGTTGGTTCATTAAAAACAACCCTGTTCGGAGGCGGTATATTACCCACAGCTGAAAGCGGCTTCTGGGCTTCTGTATCTGTTTCTCCAAATATTGTGGGGTTCCCGATGGTTTCAGAATGTGGTACTATTGTCTCCATATTCAGCACCACAATAAGCCTGTACACAGTATGAATAGAGGCATAAGAAAATCACAATCAAAGAGAGCAAAACTCCTCCAAATATGGCATGTTCAACCAAGCAAATGTGTAAATATATTTCCTACAAAAGCACTCAATAAAATCGTCTCAATTTCATCCCTGAAAGTTGTCCAGAACATCTGCCTCCCAACCATTATATACCAAGACCTACAAAGACAACAACACAAATCTTTGGCACAAGTAAATTTTAACCAAAAGCATTCACCAATACAACAAACCTCATTGAAACATCTCTACCAAAAGCGAAGCTATCATTGCTTTTGCAAACTCATTGTAACAAATACCTTACACATACTAACCAAATACAGAATTAGGAATGCTCAATAACATAACCAGACATTTACTTTCGGTATCAAGGCACAGTATGAGAAACTTGGTACATCACAGAATCAGAAAGTTGTATCCAATGCCAAAACTAGTGTACAGATATTGTTCTCATACCAAACTAAAGATGAGATTACCAAACAAAATCGTCCAACAAAAACACATAGACTAACATTTTTCCCCTTGATACAAAATCAGTAACACCTATCAAGCCTCCGAGTGCCACTTACTGAACTAAAAATCCAAATACTATTCCACCAAACAACAAATCAGAGATCAGAAACTATGCAATTCAACACAATGGTGGTCGAAAATATTCTAGATCTAACGAGAGAGAAAATGGAAAATTACTTGCGGCCTTTAACATCGCTGCAAATGTAATCAATCAGCTGAACGATGGATCCTTTCTCAACTTGTCCTGATTTGACTCGATCATTAAGCTGAACCGCGACCATAGCATGTTGAGCTGAAACACCATCGGAAATGAGGAAACGATACCTCTCTTGGCTTCTCTCTTGACTTCTTCCTATCATTTTGATTTCTAAAACCTGTAGCAACGGCTTCAAATTCACGTCGCCGTCGTTTATCGCCGTGATTGCGTTCGGAGTCAAACTCACCGGCATGATGAATGATGATTTCTAGATCCCGGCGCGAAACCCTAGAAAATTGAAAAATCGATAAACCGGAGAAGAAATTAGGAAAAATTCTACGGAGAAATGGAGCGTGAGGAAGACGAGATTTGACCTAGACGGTGGTGGTGACTGACTGGTGAGAGATTCCTCTGAAAGCTTTGCTGAATTTTGCGGGAGAAGCTTAAAGATGTTGTTTTGGGTCGTAAACAGTTTATGGGGATTTTTCAATTTTGAATTTTTGGCTTGACAATTCTAAAATTACCAATTTGCCCTGGACTCGTAACTGTGACCGACTTACATGTAGAGTAATGTAGCGGCGATGACGCAAAAATCCGGGAATTAGAACAAGAAATTCTCTATATTTTTTGTTTTCTTTTTTAGATTTTGTGCTAAAAAACTTCTAACTCGCCATTTTTGCAACTTTATTCTTTATCTTCGAAAAATACAGATTAATCATACAAAATTTAAAATAATACGCAATATAACCTTTATTCGCTACCGTTAAGTTCGTAAAATTTTGATAAATAGTATGTCAAATCGAAGCCCTCGCGATGAAGAGTTCAACTCTACTTTTAGAATTTAAAAAAACTAATGTATGTGACTGAATAAACGTTTATAATATAGATATAAGGGTTATATTGCCTATTATTTTGGACTTCGTATGATTAATCTGCATTTTCGGAGATGGAAAACCCTTTTTTATCAAAGTAATTATATTTTTTTTATTTTGTCAAAGGAAATTCTCTATATTTTTTTTCTTTATTAAGGAATAGCGGGTTTTTTTCGTTAAATTATATAGAGACATAAATTTTTAAAAAAAAACCTAGATCATCCTCCCACATTAGCTTTCTAATTGTATACCTCAAAGATGTCACAACAGCATTTTATCAAATATTTTTTAAAAAAAAAGTGTCACAACAACTACTTATACATATTTTTCCTTTAATCACAAAAAAAAAAACAGCTTATACATATTTAGACAAACGTTTTGGAAGAAAATTATGAATAACGTTTTGGAGAAAAATTATGAAATTTGATGCTACATTAGTGAAATGAATTATTTGTTTCTATGAAGTCGATAATTATAGGTGTCACACCGTGTAACATAATCTTGCTTCTTGTTTTTGGAATTCAAATCATCTATTTCACATAAATTTTTAATCCAGAAAACGTAATTTTTCTATCTTTATGCATGTTAGTGTGTGGATCGATTTTCTTCTATTTTCATAGGAGAAGATAAAAGTTAACTTCTCTCCCATACGAATAAGAAATACAAATTTATATGGTTTCACTTAGTTTAGTATCTTTTGTCGTTTAAGTAACTTTAAAATTAATAATGCTAAACTTTAGAAAAATATGTTCACCGCCATGTTTCTAACTCTTATTAGTGTCTTTTGTCCAAAGTCAGCTTTCAACCATTCAAATAATAGGAGATAGAAGATAGGAGATACGATGAAGGGTCTCAACTTTGGCTCCAAGCTAGCCATTAAATATCTTTAGTCTTTCAATTAAAATAGATTTATTTTTTAAAAACAAAATTATAATTGTTGTAAAAACGTTATTTTTTCTTTGAATATAATTAATTATTACATTAAAATATATACAAACTCTTAATTTGTGTTCTACTTCCAAATTAGTTTATGTTTATGGTCTACCTATGAAATTGTCCCTAAAATCACCGGCTAAAATTATTAATAAACTTATCTTTTTATTAGAGTACTGTCTTTTATCTTTTACCTCTAAATCTTATTTTTCAGTTACAATCACCAATTATCGCCAATCACTTGAGAAAGGAGATAATGGAGACAACTGATAAGGAATAAACTGTTGACATTTGACAACAAAGTAAAACCAGATAGTACAGAATAATAGAAATCTGCCTCTATTACCACGAACTTTAACTTTCTTTTAGGTGCACAAAAAAATAAACTTTCTTTTAATTTAGCCCACCTTAAAAACTAATTTTGCAGAAACAACCCCGAATCTTTAGTAAACTTAAATTCATTCATTTTAAGCAGGCCTGATTCTCATGTGACCTCCTCCTCCTGCTGAGTCTCCTTCAGAAGAAGCTTCCATGGATTTTGAAAAGTTGTTGGAAAGATCGACATAAAGATGAGCAACCCTTCTCACATTATTGTTCAATTCTCGGATCAAACCAACGTTTCGTCCGAGGTTGTCCGGGATTTTGGACTCATGGTTTTGGTTTATCTCGTTTATAAGCAATCTGTTGTGGTCCAATATGTTTTGCACTTGAACAAAACTTTTCTCAAACGTTTGAAGAATCTTCCCATCCATTTGAACTCCATTTCCCATCATCCTAGAAGTTGTGTCTCTCTCCATTATTTTCTGGTGATCAAACAAATTCAAGGGTTATCACTTATGAGAAAAGATTTATATTTTGATGATGCAAAATAAAACCATGTGATATTTTATCACTTTGTGTCGTTGTGTAGATGATGTATGATTATCATGTGCAGACAAAAATAACGCATTAGACTAATTCTACAAAGAGCAACTTTTCTTGGCTTTTGTAACATATATATAAAAAGCTTAAACCAAACAAAAAAAAAACTCTTATTTAAAGATAATATAACATTTTGTCCATGAAGTTTAGTTTATTTAAATAAAAAAACCAAAACAATATGAACAAAAAAATGATGTGTGTTTTTTGCCAAATAAAATGAGATTTTGTTTTTTTTTTTTAATATAAAAATGGTGGACCATTTGAGACTATAGGAAAAAAAAAGAGTAGCAAAAAGGATCTGTGATTTTTATTTTTGGGACCAAAAAAAGAATCTGATGACCCAAAGTTAGCAGTCAATGCGCAGAGAGGATGAGACATTTGTGGGTTCTGCTACTTGCTTCAGACAATCCTCATTACTATTCACAACCCATCAAACCATGAAAACAGAACTACCATTTAATTTAATTAATACATTTTCATTTTCAGGACTACCATTCAATTAAAATATATTTTAATACATAGAGACATTATCTAATTATAATTTAATCACGGCCATTTTTGATAGCTGATGATAGTTTTCAAGCTCTAAACTTTAATTATTGAAGGAAATAATTTAACTGAATATGTATGTATTTAGTTATGTAAAAAAAAAAGTCTTTATTCGATTAGACATTTAAGTAATTATTTAAAACATAGTATATGTTATTGGATCAAAGGTAAGTAATCATTTTTTCAAGATACTTTACATTCTAGAGTTATTCAATTTTATTTAATCATTGATGCTTTTTAGTCATAAATCATGAAATTTTTGGTAATGTATTTCTCGAAGAAAAAAACTAATAAAAGTTTCAGTTCATAAAAAAAGAATAAATGTAAGTAATGTATTTTTTTGGTAATGGATTTTAACCCACTTCCATTATTTCTTAAAAAGTTTATCTTTTAGAGAGTTTTTTTTTTAAGTTGTAGCCTAGAGTAAATGTTTCGCATCTGAAACTGAAAAAATCAAACATTTTTCTTCACTCATAACTCTTTTTGGGTTTTGTTTTAAGAAACAAATTCAACAATAAAAGTAAAAAAGAAAAAGAAAACAAACAAAAGGCTAAGAACAAATCAACAAATATAAAAACAGTAACAAACTCATATAATCTTCAAAAGAAAAGTCTTAAAACTGAACTTATTAAGCTAAAATACTCATAAATCACAATGATAAACAATGAATCTTTCTTAAATAAAAAAAAAAAACAAAAAAAAAACAATGAAGAATCGTAATTATGAGCAGAAAAAGAGAGAAGATTTACGATACCTGCAAAACAACAGTCTTATATGATATAGAGAAAGACAGAAACAGAGAAGAGAGACAAAGAACACCGATCGGAATCTCTTCGACAAAAGTTTCTGCTTTGTCTTTTATATAACTCTTAGATTTTATTTTCTCGGAAACTCAGATTTTCTTTCTCTTTCTCTCGAAGAGAGAGATGAGAGGAAAGAGAAGAATGAGATTTGACAGTCACGCAAAAGAGGACCCTCACTGTCTTAAAGATGGAATATATATCCAACTTCTTCTAGTTTATTTCAGATTCTTAACACTTCCTTTTTCTTTTCTTTTTTAGTTTTATTTTTTTGTATTTATATATGATATATTAGATGCGATTGATAACACGAAGGGGTATAAATTTTTGGGTAATATTACTAACTAGCCAAATTTGACACATAAATTAAAAAACTAGCAGAGATAAAATTTTCTGTTGGAAAACAGCATGGACCCACCTTATATGAAGATGTGAAATAACAAAACCATCCTCTGTTTGTTTTGAGATCTACAGTAGGCGACATTGTTTCGTGATATTTTTCAAAATAGCACGTAAGATCTAAATTTCACATGTTATATTTAACTAAAAGACATGCTATTTAAAAAAACGTAGTGAATTTTTAAGAAAAAACATTGTTACGGAAAAATTAAACTTGAATAGAATCTTTTTATAAAGAAATAACATGTGATTTTAATAAAAACCGTGAATTACTAGAAAATAAGAATCTTTTTTTAAAATAAATCACATGTAATCATAATAAAAAAACGTGTATTACTACAAAATAACATGATAGAGAAAGATATTAAACTAAATAGAGTGTTTTTTCAAAGAAATAACATGTGATCTTAATAAAAACCGTGAATTACTAGAGAATAAAAATCTTTTTTTTAAAGAAATCACATGTGATCATAATAAAAAACGTGTATTACTACAAAATAACATGATAGAGAAAGATATTAAACTGAATAGAGTGTTTTTTCAAAAAATACCATGTGTTCTTTATAAATAATGTGTAATACCGGAAAATAATATGATAAAAAGAGATATATTATTCTATCACATGTAATTCGAGAAAAAAACATGTTATAAAGGGCATGTATGTAATTACACGTGCTTTCCAACATCAAACAGACAAGGTACTGTAACTCATGACTATTTTCTTAATTATCCTCAAAAATTTGGCTATTTTGTGCATATTCTCTAGATTTTTAGCGTTACATAGAAACGAAAAGAGATACATAAACGGTAAAAGATAGTTGTACATAAAAATTAGAAAGTAGTTATTTACAATGAAATAAAGAAATTTTAGCTTTCTTCTATCTATTGTTTTGTAATTATTTACGTATCACTAACTAGTCTCTATATGTTAATAACCTTGTACTGCTTTGTATTACTAATCAGATCCAAGATTTTTTTTAGTATCACATTTAATCCTAATTTTTGATTGGGTCACAATGAACAACGAAAGTGATACGTCTCATATTGCAGCAATACGGAGTTACCAATTAAATTATATGTTCTGATCCTTGTTCTAAAAAGCGTCCGCCTAGACGGCGCCTAGCCCTTTTTTTTTTTTTTTTACATTTTTTTTTTTATCTAAAATTCAAAACATCCCACTTATATTCATAGTTTGTATAAAAATCATAAGTTTGACCTTAAATTCTTGTTTTCATGTGTTTAATGCAATTTTAAAAACAAGATTATATAAATTTCTTATTTATAATGGATTAATATGTTTTAAAAACATTAAATAGCCCTAAAACTAATCCCCGATTAATCCCCGTGTAATCTCCGATTTCTTTGCTAGGCGCTAGCCGCTAGGCGCACCCTCACCGCCCGACTAGCGCCTAGCGATTTTTTGAACACGGGTTATGATTGGTAATCTCGTCCTGCTACAAGAGAAGGGGTACAATTTTCATTATAACCAATCACGTATCAAAAATGATATAAAAAATTCTCTAACTTTTTTTAAGGCTCATTCTATCCCTTGTTTGAAAAATCGCTAGGCGCTAGTCGGGCGTTCGGCATGGACCTAGCGATTAATCGGAAAATCGGATTAAAATCGGGGATTAATCGGGGATTAGTTTTAGGGTTATTTTAATATGCTTAAAATATATTAATCCAATATTGTTTTCAAAATTACAGTAAAAACAATTTTTTATGATTTTTATTAAAATTTGAACACAAGTTATGTAAAACATCACAAACTCCCAATTCAAATGATTGAATAACAAAAATAAAATTTTTTTTTTTATACTTGCAATCTAAAAAATAATCGGGGTATGTAAGATTAGGCGGAAAATAATCGGATTAGGCGGGAAGTAATCGGATTAGGCGGAGAATAATCGGATTACTGATTTTTTAGGGGATTAGTCATTAATCGAAGCGGAGAGGGTGGGCCTAGCTATTAAGCGGGGAGTAATCGGGGTTAGGCGGGGATTTTTAGAACAGAGATTCTATCCATGACTTTATTCTATTTTTAACTATTTACGTACAGTTTTCTCTACTCATGAAAAACGTTGTATGTTACCAATCAGATTTAGTGATACAAAACGAAACGTACGCTTTAATGAAAAGTAGCATATTAGTAGAACTAAAATTGATACTCCCTCTGTTTTGATTTATTTGTACTTTAAAGAAAATTGTTTTGGTTGCAAAATCAATATTTTTTTTTCAAACTTTATGCAAAAATTAAATATATTTAATATTTTATGAGCAATTGTATTTTACACTATGTATTTCTATTGGTTGAATTGGTTGTAATTAATAATGTTTTTTTTTTTGTAAAAAATGTAAACTTAATGAATTTTTATGATTTCTTAATGAATGTGCAAACAATTTTAAAGTACAAATAAATTGAAATAGAAAGAATACAAAATAACGATAAAATATACTCTCATTATAAAGAGTGTCATTCTACCATTTTTCACACAAATTAAGAAAAGTAAACATATTTTATTTCTACCATTTATTGATACATTAGATAATATTCTCTCCCTAATTAATAAGATGAAATATTGGGGATAAACTATTTTTTATCTTAAAAACTGCATTGAAAACAGAAAACTACAATCTTTGTGAAACAAAGAGAGTAATAATTAAAAAATTTAGTAAAGCGCTTTTAATATCGCTAATTATTATCACTGATTTCAAAAACAGTATATACTCTTTCCGTTTCACAAAGAGTGTCGTTTTAAAGTTTTATTTTTTTTTCACAAAAAGTGTCGTTATGTATTTTCAATGCAAAATTTTGAATAAAAATCCAATTTTAATCTTATTTATTAAATGTATTAAGAAGAGAGATAGTTTTGTTTAGTCTATTGATTAGGACTATAGTAAAAAATTTAGTAGTTTTTTTAATATATGTGAAAAAGTGTAAAATAACACTCTTTGTGAAATTTGTGAAACAGAAGAAATATTTCATATTACAACAATACAAAGTTACCCATAAAATAAAAGCGAATAAATCTCTATTTTTATATTATTGTTCTGGTGTTCAAAAAAAAAAAAATATTATTGTTCTTTCTAGCGGACTTCTTAATCAATGCAAGAAAAAAAAATCAGATATTCCTGCATCGACAAAAACGTTTTGGTCCATTTCAAAATAATCATCTATTTAAAAAAAAATCATTATTAGTGGACAAAAATGAAGCTTTTGTTATCAGCCACACATGGAATATACGTGACTGATTTTCTAACCATACGTAACAAAGTTAAATTTATATATTAGGATTTTTTTTTTCGTCTGCAGATTTCATTGATATAATGCGGTTGAATTATACATAGCCAACAAAGATTGAAATCTTTTCGAAAACAGGGTCGGTGTGTACATAGAAACCCCCAGAGACTAAGACCGAAAAGGGCGAGCTAACAGAAAAACCTTAGAAAATAGATTACATGGAAAACATTTAAATGGAAAAAAGCTAAAGACTCCAAAGCAAACATACTGCAAACTCTTCCCAACAAGCAGCCGACTAGCACTTCTATATAACAGTTTGGCGCTGAAGAGAGGTTACTGACAGGAGCCTCGGAACCGAGAAGGCAATAAAACCGAGCTCATACAACCACATCCACAGCAGAAACGAAGACCACGAACAAGAAGATCAAAGCACAAAACCTAACCACCACGACCACTTTAGTGCCAATGAAAATGTGAAGGCGGAGGCTCAAGGAGAATCCTTGAAATCTGAGAGGGGAAACGCCAAATAGGACCACCCATCCTTACACACGGACCTTCGTAGAGCCAGCCAAACCACCTACAGACTAATGATTGGTTACGCCACGCAAAGAGAAGGATAAGAGATCGACCCACCACAACGTCTAGAACTCTACCAGGAAACCAAACGAGCTTCCAAGAGAGAGCTAGTAGATGCCATTATAGGAGGCTAGTATCCGAAAGAAGAGCCGACAAAACAGAACCTTTCGCCAAATCACCACACAACAAACCAAGACGGAAGACAGAGAGAGAGAGGCCGAGCAAAGAGTCAAACAAGCCTTCCCAAAAGCAGAACCTAAGGCTTCTAACCACAACAAGTAGAGAAAAACACAACACAAACCATAGAAGTCACTCAACACCTATAGAGGAATAACCCAAAACGATGAAGCCGTTGTCACAAAACCAAATGGATCTTCGTAGCCAATTCGTGGAAACAAAAGCTAACTAAATACAAGCCTCAAACGAGACAGCACCACCGCAAAGCCAACAAATTCCAAGAACAAACCTCTTCAGATCCACCTCGAAAGCAACCAAAGCATACGACAAGACACCACCGACTCCCAATCCAACGAGAACAAAGCCAATGAACCAGATTGTCGAGAAATTAGAACCAGATCGGGAACCATAAAACTTCAAGACCAAATCAGACAAGAAGGAACCACCGGGGAACAGATCCTTCTATGAACATCACCGATCCGCCACCAAATCGCTGAGATAGTCACCACGCTGGGAGGAACCACAATCGCCGAGAGAAAAGGAAGAAGGAAGGAGTCGACGAAGCTACGGTTTGTCAAATCAAAAGAGACAAACAAGAACCAACAAAGAAAAGAAGCATCTTAAACAACGAGGAAACGGTACCAACGACGGTGTTGTGGAAGCCACCCATCGCCGGCCATCGGAGAAGAAATTTTGCTTGACGGCTAGGGCGAACAATGAGAGAGGAGAGAGCATTTTTTGCTTTTGATATATATATTGAGATACTATATGATAAGAAACATGCATTATAGATTTT